GTCGAGACACCTACAGATGGTGGAGGGTAAGTCTTTGAATATTAAATGCTAAATATTCTGTCTTTAAGTAATCAAAGACTTCAGTGTCAAATAGGCCTATGTAGAACTAGTTTATGTCTATATACACACACACACACACACACACACATGTAGTGGGCTTCCAGCGCAGTAGATCATGGGACCCCGCCCATAAACGGTGAAGTTATGTGTTTCCCTTTCATGGGAACTTCGAACTGCGTCCTCTAGGGGTCGCTATGGGGAACGCCTCGTCGTGACCCGTGTCTGAAGCATACATTGAAAAAAACACCAACTCGTTGGCCGGCGACAGCCATGACGTCACTACCGGTGCGACTACAGTATAAATCGGTGCCGGGAGCTACACATCGTTCTCTTCTTCGTCTTCATTGACTGTTCTGTTTGAAGCGTGCATTTTCAAGGAAAAAGTAAGAGCTATCTATTTATTATGGCGAGCACTAGTAGAGCATTTAGAAGGTGTGTGCATCCGTGTCAGCGCTATTTGACACCAGATGACACACACGATTTATGTGTTGTTTGTTTGGGCGAGGAGCACGCACGCGGTGTCCTCGAGGGGGCAATCTGCGTGCATTGTGAGTTTTTTCCAATGAAAAAACTCCGTTCTCGTTTGTCTCTCTTTTCAAGTAAAGAGGGGCAGCCATCTGCTTCCCGCGGTTCAGGACCCTCCGCTGCTGAGGCACGGAGGAGAATGAGCTCGTGGGGATCTCAGGTGGACCTGGCCGATGAGTTTAGAGAGGGGCTTTCCTTCTCGCGCTCATCGGCGGGGGGCGAGAGACAGCCACTGGAGGATGATGTTCTCTCTTTAACATCATCTGATCCAGGGGCCAGTGCTCTGCTGGGGTCAGCCCAGGAAGAGCAGGAAATGGATGATGAGAGCGGAGAAGCTGAGGCTGAGCCTTCTCAATCCTCCTGCCCTGCGTATGATGAGCTCTTAGAGGTTATGGGTCGCGCCACGGCAAGACTTGACTTGCCATGGATGCGGACTAAGGAAGTGGCGTCGCGAGGTCGTCTCGACGAACGTTATCTTTCTGGCCATAACCCTCCAGCTCAGGTGAGTCTTCCTTTCCTTCCTGATCTCCATACTGAGATCGAGAAGGAATGGAAGAAGCCGTTTTCCTCACGCATCCATCGGTTTCAGCATACCAGTTATGCGAATATCGAGGCGGTGCGCGAAAACGGCTATGAGAGAATGCCCCCTGTAGAAGAGACGCTAGCTAGCTATCTCTCTATGGGAGAGACATCATCTCTCAAAACTCCCTCCTTGCCATCCATGCCTCTTCAAGCTACATCTAAAATGAATGGCAAGGCATACGCAGCAGCAGGTTAGGCTGTTGCTTCACTGCACACGATGGCGGTGCTTCAAGCATACCAGGCTGATCTGCTGAAAGACCTGGATAAAGGCGAGGGCCTTTCTTCTGATGAGATGGCTGAGTTACGCCGCACCACGGATCTTGCTCTTCGTGCTACTAAGCAGGCTGCCTCTGCCATGGGCAGATCTATGGCAGCGATGGTAGTAACGGAGAGGCAGCTGTGGGTAAACCTGGCAGACATCGGGAAGAAAGAAAGGGGTTTTCTTCTCGATGCCCCGGTTTCGCCCTCTGAACTTTTTGGTACATCCGTTGAGGCGGTCGTCGAAAAGTTCAGGGAGGCGAAGGCGCGCTCAGCGGCCTTCAAAACCTTCATTCCACGAAGGTCCAGGTCTGAGCCCGAACAACCCAGGGGTCCTGGTCCGTCTCGATTTGAGGATCAGAGACGAGCACAGAAGGCTAGTGTCGCGACTCGCGCTCCTCCTCCGCCTGCGGGTAGGGGTAGGAAGTATCGTGGGTCGAAGGGAGGTAGGCAGGACCTGAGGGATGTGATCCAGACAAGGCGTCAGCGCTTTTGTCCGGATCAGAGTAATACTTAGGTATCCACTCTTTTCCTCAGGGGGTGTAACATCTACCCCTTTCTTCCCCTTCCTAATTCCCCTGTAACCACCATATCGCCACCTGACCGAGGTCAGGTGGAAGCTTCCTGCATAACAGTCTCCTTCTGGACCTATGATGTTTTTGGTTGGTTCTATGGTTATCATAGTAACCACCTTACTGAAGGTCCGGTCTAGAGGCTTTTCCGGACAGAGCTCCAACGCGGGAGCCGTGGTGGGTGAGTACGATCCATGTCTAAATATATGTATATAAATATATGTATGTGCTATGGAATTGGTGGTTGTGTGTACCCTTCTGCTAGTTTCTTTGCAGTGTTTCCCGTGCTGGGTTCAGAAACCGGGTGCTCGACTTGCAGTGTTTATTTCACTCGTCGAGATATGTCCAGAAGGTAAGTAAGGTTTCTGTTTCATACTTCCTGGATCATGCGGCTATAACACAGGCTTCTGCGGGAGTTTTGTGATTATCAGGCCCCCGGTGTCACTGCAGAAAATTTCCTGGACGTCCGGGCTGGGGTTTACGCTTTCATGCTACCCTGACTGGTCTACCGTATCCGGGTCGCCCTGAGGGGTTTTTCCCGATCACCAGGATATCCCCTTGAGGCATCACCCCCCCTCACCATTGAGGGTTATTGTGAGTATGATGTTTCTTTCGAGCGTTAATCCTCTCTGAGGAGTTAGATTCCTCGCTCCATGGGCTGTCCTCGTGGTAGTATTGAGACAATGCTCCCCTTTTATCAAAGGGTTACCTGAATGAGAGTTTGGCTAGACTGCAGTATGCTTACCCCTCTGATTTTCAATCATGCTGCAGGTCGAGCTCCCTCTCGTTGAGAGCTGGGTTTGTGCTCCCTCAGCCAAGGTAAACTACTGCTAGCGTTCCTGCATTGGAACATGCTGTAGGCCGAGCCCCCTTCTCGACTGAGAACTAGGTGTGTTGCCCCCACAGCTAAGTAAACTATTGCTAGCTGTTCCAGTTTGGAACATGCTGCAGGTCGAGCCCCGTCTCGGTTTGAGAGCTGAGTGTGTTGCTCCCTCAGCTGAATAACTGCTAGCTGTTCCACCATGGGAACATGCTGTAGGTTGAGCTCCCTCTCCATTGAGAGCTGGATGTTCTCCCCCAGCTACAGATTTACTGCTAGCCACTCCAGCATTATAGCCGTAGATATAGCGTCTGGGGATACGCTATTTTTATCTATAGGCTGCCTTTTCAGGGTGCCACGAGAACCCCTAGAACGGTATGCAAGTGTAGTGCACGTTATGCTTTGCCCACTTTTCTAAAATCCACATAAGTGGTAAGTGTGCACGTTATGCTTTGCCCACTTTTCTAAAATCCACATAAGTGGTAAGTGTGCACGTTATGCTTTGCCCACTTTTCTAAAATCCACATAAGTGGTAAGTGTGCACGTTATGCTTTGCCCACTTTTCTAAAATCCACATAGCTGGTAAGTGCGCACGTTATGCTTTGCCCACTTTTCTAAAAATCCTGTATGGTAAGAGCTACGCGCAAGACTTCGTGCTCTTTTTGAGTGGTTTAAAACCCCGGTTCTGCCTTGGGCACCACTCCCCCTATGTATCCTCTGGATACCTACTTAACAGGGTATTGCTACTAAGGATCTGTTGAGACAGTTCCTTCACCACAAGACAAACGTGCGGTAGCCCCTGTGTGACAGACCAAGACTAGTATGATTCTAGGCTCTTGGTCGTATTCCCTTAAAGGAATCTGTTTCTGATTCCAAGCCTTGAGCTCTACCCCGTGCCCAGGAGTCTGGCCCTAACAGGTAAGTATTTTGGGGTATGTAGCCTAGGCCTTTGGCCGTAGGGAATAACGTCACTGACAGCCGTCTAAACGTCCCAGGGGCAACTCCCATAGCAATATGGTAGAGTTGGTTCTTAGTGCTCGCCATGGTTCTGGCTTGCACTCCCCTCAGCATGGTGGCGTGGGTATACCATTCCCCATAGCGATCCCTAGAGGACGCAGTTCGAAGTTCCCATGAAAGGGAACGTCTCAGGTTACTTATGTAACCATGGTTCCCTGAGTAGGGAACGAGACACTGCGTCCTCTAGGTTTCTTGCCATGCTGCGGACGCAAGCTTCAGACGAAGAAGTGAATGATGTGTAGCTCCCGGCGCCGATTTATACTGGAGTCGCACCGGTAGTGACGTCATGGCTGTCGCCGGCCAACGAGTTGGTGTTTTTTTCAATGTATGCTTCAGACACGGGTCACGACGAGGCGTTCCCCATAGCGACCCCTAGAGGACGCAGTGTCTCGTTCCCTACTCGTTATGTGTTTGTATTGGGGTATAGCATGCATCAATAGACTTCCAATAGGCTACCGCAACTGATTGCGGTCATTCTAGTCAATGCTTGTGTTTGCACAAGACGCGCCGCGGCACGTTTCAAAAGCGCCCCAGGAGCGGCTCTGTGCCGCTTCGCTAGAGGCGCCTAGTCTATTTTTGACGGACGCTGCGTCCAAACCGCACAGCAAATACAAAATAAAAGTAAAAAAAATCATGTCAATTTCAAAATAAACACCCTGTGCAGACTCCCGATCATATTTGGGCACATATCTTTGGCAGGAGGCCAGAAATGGACGACGACGAGCGGTTCATCCTCGAAATACAAAAACACATGGTGTTATATCACATCACAAACCCTTTTTACAAGAACAATGAGCAACCAAATAACATCTCACAGGCAAATCACGTGGTCTCGCGAATCCTACCGCGTGGAGGACGTAACAAAACTTCTAACGCGCCGCAGACGTGTGCAGTGTAAAGCAGGGGTCACGTGCATATAACATGCTGTACATATACTTTACATGATAAAAAGTAATCTTAAAGTTAATAAATGCCTCTAGTTTTAAAGGGGTCATATGATGCTTTTTTAAAGATCATTATTTTGTGTATTTGGTGTAACAGAATATGTTGACATGCTTTAATGTTCAAAAAACACATCATTTTTCAAATACTGTACATTATTGTAGGTCCTCTATGCCCCGCCTCTCTCAAACGCTTCGTTTTCTACAAAGTCCCTCCTTCCGACAAGC